TGATATTACATCAAAATAAGACTGATAATGATTTGAGTAACTTTACGTGTGATATTACATCAAAATAAGACTGATAATGATTTGAGTAACTTTACGTGTGATATTACATCAAAATAAGACTGATAATGATTTGAGTCACTTTACGTGTGATATTACATCAAAATAAGACTGATAATGATTTGAGTTACTTTACATGTGATATTACATCAAAATAAGACTGATAATGATTTGAGTCACTTTACATGTGATATTACATCAAAATAAGACTGATAATGATTTGAGTTACTTTACGTGTGATATTACATCAAAGTAAGACTGATAATGATTTGAGTCACTTTACATGTGATATTACATCAAAATAAGACTGATAATGATTTGAGTCACTTTACGTGTGATATTACATCAAAATAAGACATCTAGTCAACACCACCTGCTGCTAACTTTTGGACTCCTCTTTTACTAACGAATAGTGGGGTTGACCATATTATTATAACGCCCCTTACGACTGAAAAGGTAAGCATGTTCAGTGACGGAGATTCGAACCCGCAACCCGCAGAGTGCGAGTCGATAGCCCAAACCAACAGGCCATGCCAGACCTACTATCTACCGTATCTGATAAAATACATAGTTTACAATTTTTTTTTTGGATAAAACGTATTATCATTTAGAGTGATTCAGCCAAACTTGTGAAGCTTGATGGATATCTTACTTTCACCAGAGAAATATATTTGTAAAGATACTTATTGGAATTAAATACATCCAGCAATAACCATCAGGAAATCATCCAGGGATTTTTTATGACCTTCTTAAAATACGAGAAAGAGGATGTCCATTAAGATCTATAGTGTCAAATATTGGATCTTATAATCGTGCTTTGGTCGGTTACTTAGTTGTGTTTTGAAGAAGTATTCTACTAATGACTATATTTTTAAATACAGTTCAGAAGGTTTTAGTGAAGAAAAAACCTAGATTTTATTAGCAAAGTTTATTGTGCTAGTTTTGACATTGGGTCATTTTATAATAACATTCTTTCGGAAGAAAAAAAAGGTTAAGTTTAGATTTAATTTTACTCAAACGAGTTACGCATTTCAAAATCTGTTGCTTAATTTTCGAAGTACTTAATCCTCTATTTCTATTGTAGCGTACAGGTAAGAAATAACACTTCTACTGCTTTCAAAGACCCAGACCATGTTCCTTAATTTTCGAAATACTTAATCCTCTAATTCTATTGTAGCGTACAGGTAAGAAATAACACTTCTACTGGTTTCAAAGACCCAGACCATGTTCCTTAATTTTCGAAATACTTAATCCTCTAATTCCATTGTAGCGTACAGATAAGAAATAACACTTCTACTGGTTTCAAAGACCCAGACCATGTTCCTTAATTTTCGAAATACTTAATCCTCTAATTCCATTGTAGCGTACAGATAAGAAATCCACCTTTGCTGCTTCATACACACACAAATGCTTCAGTTCTTTAGTTGAATGCTCTTACTTCCAGGTAACAGTCTAAATACACCATGAAATTATTTTTGTTGGTTCTTCAATTGAACAATGATACAATGATAGGTAACGTACCCATTTATAACTTACCAAAATATATCTCACAAAAACATATTTGTGTGCAATATAGACCTATTTAAGTAAGAAATTCAAAGAATACATTTTATTCGCCGAATTTTTATAATACTTGCATTAGAGGGTCAAAAGCAAGCATAAAAGTATTCAATTTTCTGTTGAACATCAGCGAGATCATAAATTTGCGCTTTTGGACACGTTAGTTCATAATTATGATTGTCATTTTGAAGGTTATATTTACTGTAAATAAAATTCACGAGTCTTTAATTTTACGTGTTATATACCAACTGTATTTAAATAAATCTTAGTTCATTGCGTATATATAATCTTAACCAGTTTTGAAAAAAAGCGTATGTCAGCATCAAAACATTTCTGCGCAAAAATGGTTTTCTTTATTTGATTGATCGAATAATTGGTGGCCATCTGAACGTAACTTTAGCAAACTGTCAATGAAGTCCAGTCTATATAACATTGCAATATGTCGGTAAATATTCTTGGTACGCTAACATAAAACTACGCTCCCTACTTCATAGAGTGTATCCATTTGTAAATATGATATGTATTTAAAAACCAGGTTGTGGTCTGCAGCAGTTCTTCAGATATAATGATAGCATTTCGTCATTGTAGTTTATCAGTTCACCTGTCCTTGTTGCAAGTAGAATTATATCGGTTTTGTTAAAAAGAAAGCTGCCAATGCGGGTGAAAGAACATCTAATCTTAAGAACGCGCAATAAATCAAGTTCATTGAAACAAGTCCTAGGTGAGTGTGACGTGGTTGACCATTCAAATTACTTTAAGACCTTGATAAGATCAATGATGAACAAAGTTTCTGTATAGAATAGAGATTACCCATTCATAAGTTGTGGGCGAATAGTTATTTCTTTATTCATTCAATACATGTATAATAAGTTTTAATTCAATTCACAATTTCACATTACTTTGCCACAACTCCTCCTCTGGAGAACTTTGCCCCCTGGAAATATTTCTGCGGACGCCCATGTTATTTCAGTTTATAAAATTATTGTTTACTGTGTATAACTTGGGGAAGGAGGATTTAACATCGCATGGCGGCAGTTTGTGTATTAGAGTTTAGTGTAAAACGAACGCACTGAGTATACTTTATCACGAATATTTTGATTGGTGCACATCGAGTCCGTAAAGTTGTTGTATTCTCTATAAGTTATCGTATCAAAACTAGCTCCCTTTTTCTCTTTCGGGTTTTCATCCGTCACAATTTTCTAATTTTAGTCTTAAAAATGGTTTGGCGAGTGTTTAAAAATGGTTGCTATAACTAGTTTATCAAAGTAACACTACCATCTGTTGACTGGAAAAAGTCGACTTTAGTATTTCTATTTATGTTTGTTTGTTTTTGAATTTCGCGCAAAGCTACACGAGGGCTATCTGCGCTAGCCGTCCCTAATTTAGCAGTGTAAGACTAGAGGAAAGGCAGCTAGTCATCACCACTCACCGCCAACTCTTGGGCTACTCTTTTACCAACGAATAGTGGGATTGACCGTCACATTATAACGCCCCCACGGCTGAAAGGGCGAACATTTTTGGTGGGACGGGGATTCGAACCCACGACCCTCAGATTGCGAGTCGAGCGCCTTATCCACCTAGCCATGCCGGGCCTTATTGATCTATTTATGACAGTCCTATATGATAAGATTCTGGGTAACACTACTGCTCGTCTAACGAACTAATTAATGTCCGATTAACACTAATATTTAGGCAGTTTTGTTTCTGGCACTCTCTTAACAAACTTGGAAACTAAATGAGGTTGTAGTTGGACATCAACATATTACTATCGCTAATGGTACTAGTGTGTTTCGTGTGATTGGAAACAATCATAGACAGTCCCCTCGCGGTTTTTGAAAATATGAAATGTCCTCTAGAAATCTTATTGAAATCAAACATTATACCAAAAGGTTATATTAGACGTTATACCAACAAGTAACTAATTTAACGATATTTCTCGAAAAATCAGTCTTAGTTTGATAAAGACGATTTACAAAGGAACGACTTTATTGTGAACTACAGAGAAGACCATGGCGCTTACATTCGACAATACGTAGCAGAAACTTGACTCAACACACACCGATTTTATTGTGAACTACAGAGAAGACCATGGCGTTTACATTC